AAAAAAAAAAAAAAGAGTACAAATTGTGTATTCATTTTCGCAATAATTCTACGCGCGTGTGTGAGTGACGTACTTGTTGTCTAATGTTGACTAATGCACATGACTAATACTAGCACATCTATATAGGAGAAAAAAAAAAGCGATGACGATACATTCAGTTGATCGGATAAGAAGCCCACGATATGCCATTCAGACAGAAAATGTGTGAACAACGTATCTTTAGTTACATAAATAACGGATATTTTTCGCGAATTCTCTATAAAATTCTTTTCACCATATAAGATGCTTACCGCAGTACATTCGCACCTCTCTAAATATTATCGTAGCTTATCATAGCTTATCGTTCGTCGCATAGGTGCACAAACATATATTTTTAGAAGTTTCACTCTCGCACAAAACTAACTCAGTAAGAGCGAATCCGTGTCGACTATAACAAATGCATTTTTATTATATGGATCACAATTTGTATTTCATGGAAACAATGTAATTATAACTCGCCACAATGCGAATTTTTTTCTAAAGAATAAGAAATATGTATCATATGTTAGGAACAATGCGAGATGGAAATGATGTAGATTTGCAATGAAAAACAAGAGTCGGTTGCATATATCGAGACAGAGATATGCAATTTCCGTTTTGTTATTAATAAGATAATACAATTCTAAAGAAAGATGCGCATGTGATACTCTCGATTTAATCATATCGTTTAAAACACGCTATTTATAATACGTTACAAATATACATATATCAACTTTGCACTTTGTCAAATTTCTGAATATGTTGCATTTTATTGCGCAACAAGATTCTGCAGGTGACAGTACGCTTAAAGTTAAGTTTTAAAATGCTTCTTTTCCGAGATTTATGCCGATTTTTCCTAGCGAGTACAATGGGCTAAAAGGCTAAGATATGAATAGACAATAAATACACACTGTTATGTATACAAGATTCACCTAACTTGACCGTCTGTAATACGTTTATTATTTTCAACATATATCGAAAAATATGTAGAAGACCAAAAGGACAAGTACCTTAGGAAGGACATAATTTTTAGTCACTGTTTTTATTTTCAAGATCAATGACCTCTCTCTTTCAACGAATGACTTACCTAATGCTGATTTTTAAAATATTCCGATTAATTTTCTATAGAAATATTTATATAAAAATCATATTGTTACATAAAACTTTCTTGTATAATTTTATATGAAAAATATAATTATTGTATATTTTTATGAGTTTTTCTAATTATTCCACATATGCATACAAAATGCATACTATATTAAAAGAATTAATAATTTAAAGGTACGGACTTAAAAGGTGATTACTTTATTATATGTATATTACTTCATATCTTATATATTTAAACATTTAATATTTTATATGAGAATCGAAATAGGAAATTTAATTTATTCATAAATCTTTTTTACAATTTGTCTAATACTTTCATATGAAGAATAAAGAAATTTAGTTTGCACATATGAAAATTATATTTGTCTCTTTAGATCAAAACTTCTTTCATTCTTTTACCTTACTTTTTCATACTATCAAAAATAACATAAATATTACAACTCAAAAATAATTAAATAAATAGACAAGTGAGAGTAAAACTGCACTAGATATAATACTTCCTCATCATAATACGATCCGTCATTATTCGATTCGATAAGTCACTTATAGCTATAATAATTTTTTAAAAAACAATACGTACTATAAATTCAATACAATGACAACGATATAAATTCGATAATTCCTCTTAGATTGCATTTACGTTTACTGCCTCATATAGATTATGGTCACACTCCTACAATAGGAGAATTTTTTTTTATGAAGAATTGTTCACTAAGATACAATCTTTGAGGAAGTATTAGTATGAAATAACTTGAAAATTCTCTTAACGTTATATAAACGTATGTTATATAATTCACTGAAAATGACTGGAATTCAGTTGAAACGTCCAAAAAAGAACAGTATTGTATTTACATGTAATCATTGAATATATAGATTAATGTTAGCACATCATTAACCATACAGTTTTACTCTCACTTATCTATTTTTTTAGTTTAATTATTTTTTAGTTTTAATCTCAAAATCCTATTGTTATACTTATAGATAAATATTACAGGCGATCAGATTAGATAAAACACTTTTTATATATAGTATTATAGGATATATACTATATACAAAAGTATTGTTTGTTTTGTCTCTCGGGAGCTGCTTGGAGTCGCTCTGAATAAACCCAGCGTACTTGGATGTGATCCATTTAATGCTGCAAATGCTTCGTTGATCAATCAGAAGAAAAAATTTTATGAATTAATCAATCAAAGTATGTTTCGAGGTATTTACAGCATTAAATAGACCACATCCAAGTACGCTAGGTTCGTTCGGAGCGACTCTGAGCAGCTCCCGAGAGACAAAACGAACAATACTAAAGTAGATATACTTAGCAACCGTCACCAAACGTATTTTAAAAACGCGATCACACACCGCCTAACACTCCACAATATGTGCAATCTGTCTGTCATGTGATTTATTTACCAAATTATATTAAATATCGAAATACGACATACACATGTCGAATGTACGTCTTTTACACACACAACATATATATATATATATATAAAAGAATGTAATTGAAAAAAACACTTGGAATATATATTTCAACAAAAATATGTACTCGAACAGACGGCAATTACATTCTCCATCATCTCGGTTTTCGCGTGCGAATTGTTCTAGATCGCGGCGCGGTAGATCCGCTTCCGATGCTGAACATGCCGGGAGTCGAAGGATTAAAAGTCGGTGCAGCCGTGGTTCCGAAATTGAGGGTAGGAGTTGCTGATGGTGCAGTGAAGTTAAATCCTGTTGTTGCTGAAAACAGAAGAATAGAATTATATAGAATTATAATAGTATAATCCAGTCAACGTTTAAAAATAAAAGATAGCACGAATAGAATCTTAATCGAATCATCTATAATTCTCATTTTATAGTTAAAATTTAATATTTACGGTACAATTTAAATTTTTAACAATAATTATCATCAAACAATAGTTAAAGCAATTTACTCCTGATTACCTGGCTTGGAAGATGGAGATCCAAATTGGAACGGAGCAGCTGGTGCAGTCGTAGAGTTATTACTTCCAGCATTGAAATTGGATCCGAAGGAAAACGTCGTGTTCTGTTGCCCGTCTTTCTGAGTGTTTCCGAAGACAAACATACTATTTGTATTACTACTTGAATTGTTAGCATTACTGGCTCCGAATGCCGGAACAGACGGATTAGATGTGCCAAAGCTTGTGCTGATCGCGGGTGTCGCTCCAAATAGAGATTTGTTATCAACAAACGTGGTTCCGCCGCTTGCAGCACCAAATGCGAGAGTCGAAGGATTCTGTGTACCGAAAGTACTCGTTGCCGAGGAGATGCCGAAGGCTTCGGTAGCTGGAGTAGTGTTTGCTCCAAATATGGGAACTGATGGGGTGTTATTATCGGTTGGACTGAATATTCCGGTTGTACCGAAAGTTGGTGTCGCCTGTACGTTCGTCGCAGTGCCTACACTAGGTGCTCCGAACGCGGGCGTAGTATTATTCGTAGTGTCGAAGCCAGGAGTAATCGTACTAGTGGATACGTTGCCGGTGATGCCAAACGTTGGCGCGAGCGCGGGCGCGGGCGCGGACGCGGGCGTGGTCGTGCCGGTTTGCGTAGTCGAGCCAAACAACGGTGTCGTTGTGCTGCCGAACACACTCGCTGCTCCAAAAGATGTCAAAGGTTTCGTCTGACCGAAAATCGGGGTGCCGCTAAATACTGAAGGCGTCGCAGTGATCGGAGTCGAATTAGCATTAACATTGGAGAACAAACTGGAGCTAGACGTGCTGCCAGACGACGAAACGTTAGTCGTTGGGACGAAAATCGAAGGAGCCGTAGTTGTCGGAGTACTAAATATACTAGCAGTTTCTGACGTTGTTCCGGATCTTGACGCAGTTCCGAAAAGTGGCTGACTATTGTTTGTCGTTCCAAATATGTTCACGTTTGTCGTTGTAATTGACGTAGTGCCAAAAATGGATGTGCCGAATTGTGGAACAGTGGTTGTAGATGTTCCAAATTGAGGAACTGTAGTGGTAGACGTGCCAAATTGTGGAACGGCAGTAGTGGTGGACACTCCAAATGTAGGAATCGCGTTATTGCTTATCGTACTCAAGCTAGTCGTAGTACTGTTAGTAGTTGTAGCTGGCAAAGCTATAGCAGTAGACGTCGTATTTGAAGTATTGGAAGCACCGAAAAGAAACAGAGGTTTGCTGTTGGATAGAGTAGGTATTGAGGAAGTAACGGTTGTCGTGCCTAATGAGAACGTAGACGGACTCGATAGTCCAAATGTTGGTGCTGTGGCAGTTGTAGTATTTGTGGAAAATGAGCTATTTGCGATAGTTGTTATTGAAGTGTTAGGTTTGAAATTAAATGATGCAGTAGTAACTTGTGACAATGATGTTGCTTGGTTTGTTACAACTTGTGTTGAGTTTCCGAAAGCGTTCATTTTTGGTTGAGCGTTATTATTATTTAGTTGACTAAATATAAAGCTATCCGACTTCGAAGATTGTAAAGTAGTATTATTACTTCCAAAATTGAATAAAAGTGCGCTCGTAGACGTCGTTGCAACGCTATTCGATGTGTCACTGTTTATGACGTTATTAAAACCGGTAATGTTAGTTGCAGTAGTTGTATTGACTGGTAATAATGTCGTCCCGAGAGATTGGGATGGTAAACTTGGTACAGTAACTTGAGTGGATGTCACGGGAGACGAGGCGGATTTGTTGCTATCGAAAGTAAAAATAGAAGTAGTTTGAGTATTCCCAGTGGTGGACGAACTAATGATAGCACTTGAGGTAACAATAGCATTAGTTCCGATTTTTTCTTGAATCGTAGTGTTAGGATTAATCGGTGCAAACGTTGAACTCGATGGAGCTTTATCGACTATCAAGAAATTAGTAGACTTAGATGATGGTGGAGCAAAGGTGTTACTATTGCATGTACCAGTGCTAAAGTTCAGCATATTATTATTCGATGTTGTAGTTGGTGCTTCCGTAACTGGTTTACTGAGACTAAAGGTCGATGCTGTCGTAATAAGAGTTGAAGGTATGACTTTTTCTAAAGACTTTGCGTTCGTAATTTCGGGTGCGAATGACACAACTTTCTTTTGCTCGACAGTTCCACTCGTCTTGGCAACTGAATTCGTTTCTTTTGTCTTGAGAATACTTATTGCTGATCCATTCAATTGCGCTGGAGACGTGGTTTTCGGTAAACTGAAAGTTGTATCCGATTTCGTTTCCACTTTCGCACTAGGTCTTGATGAAGAGAAACCGCTTGGTATAATGGCCGCAGTAGATAGCGGTGTCGTATTGACGTTTGTTGTAGTAGTCGAGGAATTGAGAGTTGCACAACTGACCGGGTGTGTGATTGAAGGTGTAACGGTATTAACGTCGTCCGCTTGAATCACAACATCAGGATTAATTTTATTCTCTGCTGAAAATGCAAATAAAATAGTTACTATATAATACAAAATAAAAGGATGAAAGAAAACAAAATATGTTTCTTTATGTCTATCCTTTTAATAAATTAGTAAGAATAATAAATACCACATTATTTTACTCAACTTGATAAATAATACACGTATATATTTACCTTTCCCTGATATTGCATCAAACATACTTTGAAGTCTGGCTTTCATACTGTTTTGTCTCATATTTCGTATATCCTCTCTTTTTATTTCTTCCACATTATCTGTCGCAAATCTAATTTTTATATTACTCGGTTCCTCCACAAGTAATTTCAATTGTTCGTTCCGTTCAGGTTCGGCTCTCATAAATAATTTATCCGACAATTTAACGGATTTTGTCAGTGCAGCAGATTTAATGTTGTCAGTTACATTAGTACTCTTTGCGTTTTCATGAACAGGCCCTGTTTTACTCACATTGAGCCTCAATTCTTTACTAGATGATTTCAGTATTCCTTTTACTAAAGAAAATTCTTCTGTTTTCTTAGAATTAAGAATCTCAGGATTTTTGAAATATACTTCTTTAAGATCAGATTTACCATTGTCTATATCTAAGCTCTGAAATTGTGACACAGAGGAGTTACTAGACCGTGCGTTTTCCAGAGATTTGAAATGTTTTTCGAAGTCAGGTGTACCACTACGCGAGAAATCAACTGTAACACATTATCATTAAAAAATCTGTATGCATTGAATAATCAAATATATAATTACATAAAAATTGCATAAAATTGATACTTACCAGCTTTTCTTTTAACTCCACCAGCAACATGTGCGCTGGAACTCAAAGAGTTTATAATATCAAAACAGGATCGTGTCTTTGTACGTTTTGCAGGTCTGATAGATTTACTTTGGGGTGAAAGATCCTCATCTGATTTAGATGACTCATCTCTGCTTCGTTTTTGCTTGTTTTCCTCTAGAATTGTTTCTCGCTCCTCATTGAAGAATTCTGTTCTCTGTTTCTTAGCAACATCAAAGCTAACATCCTCTGTTGATGCGTGTCGTTTCAATGATATCTCCCGTAAGACTTGAACAACACTCGTGGGTGATCTGTTCTCCATGTGACAAACATTAGACAACATTTTTTGCTTTTCAGGTGGAGAGTATTTTGTTACATCTGGTGGTGCCACTCTGACCGTTACAGGCATTCTCATCTTTGTCAACTTTGCATTTAATAGAGGAATTGGATTTGCATAGAGATTAACTTTTGGAAATTGTCCAGTACCGTATTGAGATTGATGAGTTAATGTATTCTTTGCTTCTGTAGCGTACTTGGTTAGCCTTGTTGTAAGACCCGGGGATGATACGTCTGTGTACACCCTGTATTTGAAAAAAAAAAATTAAACTAGTATAGTAATATCAAAAAATATATAAGCTATATTTTTATAACTGACCTAGTATATTTAATAGCTAAAGTTTTTGCACTTAAAGTCAAATAAGTATATGTTAAAAATTTAGTGAATGGGAGAAGCAAAGGTCTAAACCTGGTTCTACCAATGTAAGAATAAATTTTTTTATACTATACACATTTATTCTATACATAGTTAAATTTACTGTTTATTTTTTTAATTCTTAACAATAGAAAAGGTTAAAAAGAGTAAATTAAACCGAGAATAAAATTAATTTTACATTGATAGAATAGGATTCTAATGCAATAAAAAAATTTATATAGTTGCTTAATACATAGAAATATATAGAGTTTCTTATAATCCTGAAATAGAGATGATAAAAATATGTATATTAGGATAAAAAATAAAAAACGTATAATTAAATGATGTATATGCAAGCATATATTTACTTAGGATCAATATTGTATCTTGTCGATGCTAATAATGGTCCAGCAACTGTCTGGACTGTTTTCACACCAGCTGGTCTAGGACGCATCTTGGGACTAATACTTATACCCCATGGAGAACCTTCAGGACTAAACTGTGTGACATTCTCTCCGCGGCTAAGTGAATGATTTTGAGCATACAGAGGCAGAGTCTTCTTAGAGGATATCCCACGTGACTGCGAGATCAGGTTGACATCGTCATTCCTAGGGTTCTCTTCTCTGCTGCCAGGTTTTAAAACCGGCGTGGAAGTGTGTTTGCTGCCATAAGCAGATTGCTGCTGTTGAGGTGACATATAATCGTAATCACCGGCATGATACAGTCTATTGTCCATTCTGAGCATATCGTTGATGCGCGAACGGTAGGAAACGCACGGGATTGGGCTCAATTGATCAATCAAGCCAAACTTGGACGACGATGTTGACGACGACAATGACGACGTCAACGGCGACGTCAACGGCGACGTCAACGATGACGATTCTCCTCGTTTGACAGCGGTAGGGTATAAGTCACTGCTGAGCTGATAATTGCCCGGGCGTCGTCTATCCATCCTGAATGGTGGAAAACGCTCGCGGTAACAATGACTCGCACTGTGCCAGAGCTTACGCACGTAACCGGTACTGTGGCTGTGGATGACGCGGAACGCTGTGCCGAGGTCGTAGACCGCCTCCCGCAAATAACCGATAACTTGATACGCGTGCGGCGATATCAGACTGTCGTTGGCGAGCAGAGAGTAGCACGCGTACACCACCAGGAGGAGCGTGAACGCCAGCGCCAGGATAGCGCCCCAGGCGTTGTATATCAATATACACCCACACGTCACACTTATCAACACCACGGCACCGCGATTACCGAAATCCCACATAGTACTGCCTCAAGCGGATAACCTCCCCCATTTGAAAAGAGCACACTCACCGCAGCTATCGGAACATTGCCGCGAACAGTGAGATCATCGATATATATCGATATATGGCGGCCGCGGTGATTCAACGTACCGCGATTGGCGGGCGCGGGAAATGGCAAGAGTTGAATCACTCACACGAGGTCAGAGAGAAATCTGAGAGAACCGCCATGACGGTTTTTTTTTTTTTATTACCGTCGAAATTTCCCATACGCCAGCGCCAGTCATTCACATTCATTTTCGTTTTGGGTACTACTTGCATGGCTACATCCATTTTCTGACACCGTCGATAAAATTATTATTATTATTATTTTTGCTGCGTTCAGCAGGAAAAGCAGCTTTGCAACTCTGTTGTAAAATTTTTGAAGATTTCAGCCGTTCTTTCATAACACCAAAAGTTATGACTAAAAATAGTTTTTCCCTCCGTGTTCGGTTTTTTTGCTCATTAATCGGGTTTATAGTGCTTCCATGTGATCGATACTGTATATCTGAGTTGTGCTAGCGTAGCACAAATCGAGCACAACTCAGCACAATGTTTATTTTGCCGATTAAACAAAATGGCGGTGCTGGCGAAAAAAACGTTTTTTTTTTTTTCAATTTAACGATTTGTTTTTTGAGTTATGTCATTAATTCTTGCGGCACAATGTAGCACAAATCTAGCTCAATTCAGCACAAATTTATTTTTGTTTTTTTACAAAATGGCGGTGCTAACTTCATGCACATTTTTTGCATACATATTTTTTTATAGCAACTATGTGTTTTCTTCTTACCAATTGATTCATCTCATTATACTGTTTACAAAAGCATTAAGGTACGATTATCAAAAAATCAGTTCAGGAGTTATTAAACATTTTATGTCAATATATGTACCAAAAAAGAATATGTAAAATATCTCGTAAACTATTGGTTTTTTATATATCTCTACCTTGATACTTTTATGTACAGAATAATTAGGGGAGTCATAGTAAAAAAAATTCATATAATTCCATTTAAAAAAATGAAGTTGACCTCGAAATCTCCGAAACGCCTCCACCTAGAAAAATTATGACTAGCATATGTTATAGTTCTCTTGATGCCCTACAACTTTTTGTAATGACAATATTTTCATATCTCTGAAAATAGCGGAGATATTTAAGGTAAACAAAGTTATTGCCCCACTCGGTATACACATATATGTATATACGGCACGCGCCGAGCGGCGGAGATCGCTGAGAAAACATTTTTAGTCGCTCGAAACAAGCGACCGAGCGAGAAGGATGGAACGAACGTGACGTAGCGTCTCGCTGTCTCACTCTCTCTCTCTCGATGCGTTAAAGGTTACCGAACGAGAAAAGAACGTATCGAGCTGTCGCGCTCACTCATACTGATCAAATCGTTTTTATCTAATTTAACACGGACCCCGACCACTTTCGACGATACGATTTTATCGGCGAGACGGCGGGTCACGAAAATGGACGTGGTACGTAGTTCCCGCATTTCGAAAATGGACGTTGGTGCCGCTAGTGTACGGGGAGTTAGAAGCATTAAGGTTGATTTATACTGGCCGTAAACTGTTAACTTATGCCGTAATCTGTAAAAATTGACCAATCACAGTCGAATGAGAGGGGAATAATCGATTATAATTGGTCAATTTTTACAGATTACAGCATAAGTTAACAGATTACGGCCAGTATAATCCAACCTTTACAAGAAAAAGGCCTCCATGGCCGCTCTCGGATTTCTCTCTGATCATATTAAAGATTTTACAAAGCTGCTTTTTGCTGATTGCGTTTAGCAGACTCAACAGTTGAGTGAGCGATCGCTATTATTGATGTATTCTTCTAGATCTAAAATTCTGATTGGTTGGTCTAAAAGAATACATCAATAACAGCGAGCGCTACTCAACTGTCGAATCTACTAAACGTAGCTTTATGAACGCATCGATTGCATATATTCCGAAACTCATCGTGTTGCACGCCTGCGCATTCGCAATATTCGCATTCATTCGTCTCGCCTCTCGGCGCGATTGGAGCATCGTACACGTGACAAGACACGCTCCGGAACGGAACACGCGTGCTGATTGCCGAGACGCGTTAAGTGTAACCTTTTACTCGGAGCACGCCGGTCGGCCGCAGGAACAATGTCGTGGTTATTCGGCTATCGCAATTCACAGCCACCGCAGGACTTCACGCATTTCGTGCAGCCACCACCACCGGCGGGAGATAGCGGAGGCGGCAGCGGCAGCGGCGGTGGTGGTTCACCGCCGAGGATCGGCGGTAGCATGGAAGCGTATAGATTTGACTCGAGCGCGTTGGAACGAGCCGCTGCGGCCGCCAAGGAACTCGAACGATCCAGTACGATTTCTTCTTTACGCCAATTTTCCGCACTTTTTGCGAAAAGTCGCCCGCGCGATTACGTAAGCGAATGGCTTTGGAGGTTAGAACACGCACCACGAGGGAATGTACCTTTGGCCTCTCGCGCGCAATGACGCAACTTTTCGCGAATAATTCGTTAGTCGATCCGGCGAATGAGGATTCTCGTGGCATGTCGAGGACGCGGGTCTTTGTGAATGATGTCGCTTGGTCAATGACAATTCGTTACTTTAGCTGTCCACTTGTTGGATACTTGACATTCCTTGTAATTGAAACTAGCACACTTTTTTCAAAATTACGTATAAATTTTTCTGTAAAAAAATTAATATAATTGTTGATGTGTTATAGAGGAAATATATTAAATTTTGTTAATAATTTTATATTTGAGTTAATATAAATATTATATTTGAGAATACATTACAAAAAATGTTACAATAGTTATAAATTGAATATACAATAATATGACTATTGATCTGTATTCTTTTCAGTTAATTTTTTGTACATTTTTGTATACATATTCTTTTCATCGAAAGAAAAGGAAAAACGGTGAACGGTACAAAAAGTTTAGTTGGAAAAAATAGACTATAGGTTTCTAATTAGACAACAAGTATCATTATTCTATCTTTAGCTATTTTCCTTTTAGGAGACACTGTCGCAAAAACATTGTTCCATCCTTCTTGATATTCAATAAATAACAAAGATAAAGGCTGGGACACAGATTTTTCCATAATGGATAAGATAATCAATCAAATTTTTTCAAGAAAAGGAAGAAAATAAAGGATTTTAATTTCCTATAAAACGATACTTAAATCTACTATGGATGCTTTCCAACAATATATACAGGTGGTACTGTGTAAAACAGTTATGATTCTGTGCTTTTTAGCTATGGATTCAAGTCAACAACTAAAATACTGTGTTCAACTGTATTGTTTTATACTCCATACCAAATGTTTACATTTTATTGCCATTTATACTAAATTTTACATTTCATTATCATTTATTTTTCTAGAAGATATTCCGATAAGAAGTTTTAAAATTTTTTGATATATTTAGGAGCAAGTATATAAAACTTTATTATAAGTTAACACTATGTCACATAGTGTATGATTATTCCATTGCTGAAAAGCACTTTATGTTTCCTAAAAAGAAAGTAGTTTGTTACTTATGGAATATCAAGATAGAATAATGTATTGATTTGTCACTGAATAGAAAGTATTTTATTCATATAAAATCTTAAGGATGTTTTTTTTATCTATAGAGTAATGAGTATAATTTTATTTTAATACAGAGCATGCGAAAGAAGCCTTGGATTTATCTAAGATGCAAGAAACCACGAAACAGGTGGAATTTCAAACCGAATTGAAGAAATATGAAGCTAGCATTGAACAGCTTAAAACGGAACAAAAACGAGTGGAAGGTGAGGAAAGAAGAAAGACAATACAAGAAGAGACAAAGCAGCATCAAATGAGAGCACAGTATCAAGACCAATTGGCTAGGAAGCGCTATGAGGAGCAATTGATGCAGCAACAAAAGATGAACGACGAGAATCTGAGAAGACAAGAGGAATCGGTAGCCAAACAAGAAGCTATGAGAAAAGCTACGATAGAACACGAGATGGAATTGAGGCATAAGAATGAGATGAGAAAATTGGAGGCAGAATTGAGAGCCAAAGCAAAGATTGACAGAGAAAACCAGGATCTCAATTTAGAACAGATTAGATTAAAAGCTTCGGAAAAGAGAATTACTGTTTTAGAGTCGATAAAGTAAGCAATTGTTATTACTCATGTGTGTACGTTTCATTATATAGCTCTACATTTAATTTCATAGTTATTATATTTTCCAGAACAGCTGGCTCAGTATTAGGCTCAGGTGCCAAAGCTCTTCTGGAAGATTGGGATAAGATCCTCGCGGCGGCAGGTGGTCTATCTCTTGTAGCCTTCGGAATATACACTGCCAAGGGCTCGACTAGCGTAGCAACGCGCTATATCGAGTCTCGTTTAGGGAAACCATCGTTGGTGCGCGAGACTTCGAGATTTACATTCCTCGACACCGTTCGGCACCCCATTCAAGCAGTTAAAAAGCTAAAAAGCAAACAGACCGATGCACTATCCGGCGTGATCCTAGCACCAAAGCTTGAAGAGAGACTACGTGATGTTGCGATAGCCACGAAAAACACAAAATACAATCGCGGCATGTATAGGAACATACTGATGCATGGTCCACCGGGTACCGGTAAGACAATGTTCGCGAAGAAACTGGCAGAACACTCGGGCATGGACTATGCAATCGTGACGGGTGGTGATCTGGCGCCGTTGGGAAGAGACGGTGTCACTGCTATTCACAAGGTGTTTGATTGGGCGTTGACATCTCGCAAGGGATTGCTATTGTTCATCGATGAGGCGGACGCGTTTCTGAGAAAACGTTCGAGCGAGCACATCTCGGAAGATCTTCGAGCAATGTTGAACGCATTTCTGTACAGAACTGGCGAACAAAGCAACAAGTTTATGCTGGTGCTCGCATCGAACACACCGGAGCAGTTCGACTGGGCGGTAAATGACCGATTGGACGAGATGGTGGAGTTTCGTCTTCCGGGTCGTGAAGAGCGCGAGCGTCTGGTCCGTCTCTACTTTGACAAATTCGTTCTCCAACCGGCGATCGAGGGTAACAAGAGATTGAAAATCGCGCAGTTTGACTACAGCTCGTTGTGCACCAAGATGGCCGATCTGACGGAGGGAATGTCCGGTCGAGAGCTGGCGAAACTTGGAGTCACCTGGCAAGCGGCAGCTTATGCCTCGGAGGATGGCGTTTTAACAGAAAAAATGGTTATGGACAGGTGTCTCGAAGCCATTAAGCAGCACAAGCAGAAGGTGCATTAATATTTAATTTTAACAGTACAAAAATTATCTAAAACTGATTAACAGATATAATTGCATTTTTTTAGATATATACTTAATATATATTTGTATAATTTTTTATATGAGATCTTTTTGCGTTACAGGTACAATGGCAGAGCGAACAAGAGAAGCAGGAGTCGAAGTCGATATATGCCACGGAAGACGATGCGGTTATTCGTTCAAAAACTCCAGCAATAGAGTATCCCGGAAACACGATAGCCCCAGCCTAGATAATTACAAAAGAGTAATTGTTGATAATCTTTGTTAGTCGGGCTAATGACTAGCGTTAAGGATGGGGAAAAGTACAAATGCCGCTCGGAAAAGGATTATCCAGCGATTTTTGTATTTATCATAATGCGCATGCAAGTTCACAGGCTCAACGAGTCGCAAATGTCACTTGTTACAAATGTACATTTATTAGGGTAATTAAATCATAATTCTACTATGACTTTCATCATCCTTCGCAATTTACTTCTTTCCTCTGTGATATAAAAGTATAACTATTGATTGTAAATTAAACGAATAATTTTTTAAGAGTAAAGAAGAGACAAAATTGTTAATTTATAAATATTTATTATAGAAAAAATAGGACGACGTGACGGAAGTACTGAAATTTCTATCATCATAACAATTCGTATCGTGATGTTCGCAATAGTTTAAATTCTTCAAAAAGTCCAATAAAAGATTAACGATATTTTATTCGCGTATTCACAAGAATACTATTTCTAGCATTTTGGTATCTTTTCTCAAATTATCAGTTTTCTTTGGAAAAAAGATATGACAAGACAAAATATAGGAAATGTTGCAAGAGTGCATATCATTAGCGATTATGTTCACGTCAAATGGAAATAAAACTTAAAAGATTTCGACGAGCTTACGGGAAAAAAAAATCGAGAAATTACAATGTCCGCAAATCCCGCTTTGGTCTTATCTACGCCTCCTCTATCGTAAGAGAAGATATCACCGGGGATATTTTGATCAGTTTGCAGAAGGCGTGTCATTAAAAATCACAAATTTATCTGGCTCCTCGCGACGAACTTATTAAGATCGCTTCAGATTTATTATATCACGTTCGTCACTTTACAACATATAATTAATTTTCAACAAACTCGACAAAATCGATCGTCATTGTATTTGTTGTCTAGCATATTATATAATAATTTTTCTACATATATGCATTTTTTGTTATGTATAAACTGATGCACGTGTCGTCGGACGTGATACGAGCCACGTTACTAAGTAAGTCCGATCGAGATCTCAGCATCCTTGCGTAATCGCATGCACGCGACCAAATAAAATAATAACAGTCAGTTTATCATCGTACGACGCGCGGCGCGCCATTAAGGACAAGTTAGAATTATACAGCGCAGGGGGGTGACGCGGGTGAAGAGGCCATCTAATAGTCATAATATAATTATACTTGACAGTGGGAAGCACAAATAAACGCGTTTGATATCACGCACCAAGCAATTAGCACGCATTGGTCAAAAATACGCGTATATGCACAAAAAATAGAACATTATTATTTGCTGACAAACTTTAAGAGGCGTATAAGGAAGGTGAAGGATGATCGTATATCTTTTTATATGCAATCAGTGGACATACATTCACGAATTGAGATGTTTAAAAAAACCTTATATTTTTTACTTGATAATTTGAAATATTATCTTATAGATTTATTATTGTTATATGTGTATGCATGTATATGCTACATTTTTATGCGAATATTGTAAAAATAAATTACGATAAACTGAAATAATATCAAATTAAGTAATATATCTTGACATTTCGAAACACTTAATAGATATGATGAAACGTTCTTAGCATTTTTAGATTAAATATTGTACATACATATGGAACTAAACCAAATTTAAATAATTTTTTTAAATCTGCAATCATCAAAATATATCTTATGACTTTTGTTTACTCACCAATACTATCTCAAATTATGATGGCAGAAACGAGAAAACACATAATAAAATTTTTGCAAATATATTTGAATAGATACAAATATTTTTCATTAAAACAATTGTGCAATCGATTTATAAAATATATCAAAAACTTGCTTTTGAAGAAAATTCAAATTATGTTTACTTCTATTATATATTACAATTATAATATTACTTCGACAGTTTGTCACAGTTTGAATACAGCTTATTTCTTTTTTTTGTTATATACATTTTTTTCAGATAATATAGTTATTTATTAACTATATATATGATTTTTACAAATAGTTCTATCGATTGTGTTCTCTCTCTCTCTCTCTTATTTCTCGATATTTTTATACATATTTCCATCTTAATAATAGCAAGAATTTTTATCAAGTATTTTTTTTCTTCTGACGTCACAATCTGAATTGTGAGATAGTAGTGAGATAGTCGTGAGTAAACAAAATCTTCAAAAAAAGAAAAAGGAAAATGTTTATTATGTGACGCTAATTTAGGTAGTTTTTTATATCTGGTATTTTATTTATCTCTTTTTGATATTTTTATTTCATTAATCAAGGCGCCGCTGCATTTATGGCAAAAAATTTACTAATCTTGCAAGTTGTAAACATTAAAAAAATACGTTTCTTAGAAATCATTAATTATTCTAATATGCAAAGTCACGAAATCTTGTAGTGTGGTTTATATAAGTCCTATTATCAATATTATTATGACAGGCTTTATTTTGTTGACTCTCGTTAGAATTTTACAAGAAAATTATCATATCTTTGTTGTCAATATTCGAGATTCTATTTGATACTGTAAAATTTGTTCGACCTGGTGACATCTTCAAGAAATCTTACAATGTTTGATGTCTTTACTACATTTCTTTTTATATTCTTTTCGACATTATTCTTTCACGTGTTTAGCACATGATTATTTAAACACACTAGATAAAACAATCTTATTTATATATAAAATTAAATCGATGTTTCTCACAGTTGTTACGATACGCAAATAGCTTTATAATTACATAACTTATTATCATGGTACAAATTATAATATAATTATACAGAGCAATTTTTCTTGTTTTTTTTTTATTATACTATAATTAACCGCTATGCGATTGTTGTTGCTATATAAAATCATACGAAAAAAAGATTAAAACCTGATATGTAATATTAGCAAAAATCTCAAATACTTTACAATTAAGAGATTACAATTTTCTCTTGTAAAATCTAAATAATATCGAGTATAAAATAAAACCAGTCATAATTATAGTCCACGAAGCCTTAAAACAAAATACAAAACATCTGGTCGTTTGCATGAACCTACACAGCCGAAATATCCCGAATATGTTATACGAATATTTTCTACAGACGTTACGATGACAGTTTTAAACAGTCTTGTCGCTGTGATATAATTTGGACATTTCTGCTGTGTATAGAAAAATTATTAAGACACTTATTGTTGTGAGTCTTGAGTTATGAGCGTGCCCTCAGCTTCCCTGAGCGGAAAGATATCTGTATCATGTTTTTTCTCGTCTGGCGGTGATAAACATATGTCGTACGATCCTTCAGTTGACGCAGCCTCCAATTTCACTCGATAATGAATCGCCCTGAGCCCACACTAGCGGGTGCGAATGTAAAAATAAATCGTCCTCCCTTTATGTTTCTTTCTCTCTCTTTACTCTCTCTCTCTCTCTCTCTCTCTCTCCGTCTGTCTCTGTTTCTCGCGCGCACAATTGCGAATACTGTGGATGAAGAGTTACACCATTTTACCCGAATCAGCGACAACCTTGATAGTGGAGTCTTTCTTCTGACTTCTCAAACAACTGAGTTTTCTCAGAAATATTTGAACTAAAGAGTGAAACATTTCATATGAAAGTTACGAAATATGTCTGCAACATTTCTGCGACAGCTCTGGAATAGCAAAATGTCCGTGATTCTTGTACATAAAATCTCGTTGAAAGATTGTTGAAATTTTACAGAAAAAGTTTTCAAATATTACCAAAAAGTTATAGAAATGTATATTCGGCCTCTTTTGGTGCTTATGTGTGTTGCAACATTTCTGAAAACTTTTTACAACAATTAGTACGATATATTCTAATTTTTCGTTTCCTTCGCTTTTCCTTCGAACATTCGAGCTTCCTCAGGCTCTCTCTCTCGAAATGTTATGTTGTTCAGAAATGGACCTTAATTGAAAATGTAAATTTTATTCATAATTTCCATTCATCGCATGATACATTTTTGATAAGGACAGATTAGATAAAAACAATACGAGATACGCCTGATGGAAAATTTTTCCAGTAGGCGTCTCAGAGAGAGATGTTTTTCTCTAATCATAAACGCATTAGATATTTAGATATTTCCCCAGTCGGTAATATTTACAAATTTATAAAGAGCGAGAATGGAGGGAACGAGTACTTAAGATTATGCAATCGCCTCTGAACTTGGCGCACTGAACTGTATATCGGAGGTGTTCGCCATCAAAGATCATCACTGCGTGACAAGGTTATCGCTGGATTTTAAAAAAGGCGGGGAAGTTTTTGTACGCATGACTTAATTATAAGCCAGTTCGTTGAAAACGTTATACGTCGACGGTGACGCTCCGCCGCTGTCGATTTATCTGTTTGTGGCCAATTGAGATTTCCATTCAAACACGTTGGAGCGATTTCAACCGTTTGTCTTCGTTGCTACGGACGTATAGGTCTTCAGCAGACAGTGCTCCAGCTGACGATTGTGATCTTGGAAACTGCTTTACGGAAGACTTAGTTTTGATTGAGCCTATAAATTTACAATTGAGATTCTCCTCTAATTTTCAACAAAAATTGAGATTGTGCAGCTATCATCAAAAGCAATTATTGTTTCTTTCATTGGTTATCCTGGCGGTTACTCCGAAGATCGGCATGACGATCTCGGTGACCGGCCCGGCCTTGGATATAGAAAATAAGGCGATCGGGCGTTGCACTCGACGCAGCCATCGTCTTCGCATCTGGTTCGCTTGGATCTACTGCGGTATCTTCCTGTTGAGCTCCGCCGGCTTCTACATGTTCTGGTACACGGATGCGTTCGATAATTACGTGTTGTCGCTGATGGAATTGCGCAACGGTACACGGACATTTGACTGGTGGCAGAGCCCGCCATTGAAGCTTAAATATAAAATCTATATCTTTAATTACACGAACGTGGACAAGTTCGAGGCAAACGAGGCAAGCAAACTGCGCGTCCAGGAGCTTGGTCCCTACGAGTATCACGAGACGTTGAGTCACACGAATGTGGTGTTGCACGATAACGGCACGATTACCTATCAGACCAAGAGATCCTACGAATGGATAGGCGGCCGATTCGAGAACGATATTGTCCTGGTGCCGAACGTACCATTGATGTTCACCACCGCGTACGTCCGGGATCTGAGCTTCGCAGTGCGATTCGTCACCAACACCGTGCTGTCGACTCTACAGGAGCAGTCGTTCATCAACGAGACCGTCAGCGGTTTCCTCTGGGGATACGACACTGAGCTCTTCCACATAGCCAAACCGTTGATGATGCTCGAGCGGGACATACCTTTTGAAAAGTTCGGCTTGTTAGCCATGGTGCGTGATTTACGTTTAGCCGCGGAGAGTTTTGAAAATTTTATGGAAAATTTTATTTCTATACTCAGACCGGTGTTCATATACCCAGATAACATGTTATGTGAGATGTCTAAAAGACAGCTTTTAGATATCTTATGCAACATAAATGTTATCTCTGTAGTCGGTTCTTATTATATTTAAAACAATCTTAAATACAATCCTAAAATATCATATCACAAAATTATATTAAGATTATCTAAAGAGAAAGTAAAATAATGTCAATTTGAAACGTCATATTTTGACTGAAGTTAAGACATTTTTTTTTAATCAATATGACATTATTTCGACTTTCTTGTTCTCCTTGAGGATAATATAATTTAAATCTTCTAATAAGAACTGATAACGAATACCGATTATAAAATACAAAGCTTAAAATATGTATTTTATATAACGATAAATGTATTTTCATAAAAAATAAATATTATGAAAGGTGATTTTATCGCGGCGTTAAAGTGAGATGTCTTTTGAGTTATTGGGTAATATAATACCATCTTTCAATCGCGATTAACGTGAAATGTGTATTTTTTAAATAGAAAACTGGTATCGATAAGGATCGCATCACGATGCACACGGGATCGCGAGGCATGAAAAATTTCGGCGTGATCGACCGAGTGAACGGAGTGAACAATCGGATCGTTTGGGATGACGAGCGATGCGATAAAATTGAAGGCACCGAGGGCAATATGTTTCCACCACATTTGATACACGACACAAGTAAACCCCTCTACATATATTCTAAGGATATTTGCAGGAACGTACCATTACATTTCACCGAACAAGTAACCACCTACGACATACCTTCTTTGAGGTAAATAAAATTTGAGTTAAACTTTGTGCTTTGATACAATCACTATTTAATTGCAAGCTTTGATTGCTGGGTAGAAAAAAGCTATGCCTGAATATTTCCAATCAGTTTCAGGATGTTCTTTATATAGATATTTAAAAAAATTTGTTTCAATTAATTTCATGCTATTATTAAATAATAATGTATTTTTCAATATTTTGAATCATTTTTAAAAGTAAAATGTAATGTGTGTGTGTTAATAATTGCATCGAAATGATCACGAGAATTTCTTTGCAATTATTATTATTTATTTATATTTTTAAGGCTTATATATATATATATATATGTAGTATTTTATATATATATATATATGTAGAAGCTATCTATTTCGCGAATTATCTCCGTGTTCATATCCATTCTTGGAATGCTAACGTATCATGAACGTTGCAGTTTACTTTATAGGGGTGAGAAGCAGTATGACCGTTCCTCGCATTATAATAATAATTATTATTATTATAAATACAATAATTATTATTATGATTATCATTTTATTAAAAGGATTTGTTTATAAAAAATGATTCAAAAATGAGAAAATGCATTGCTATGGTAGTTCTCTATTGAAAAATATAGTGGATTGATTGAACATGTATGTGATCTTCTTTCTCGTTTCAGGTATAAATTGACCCCAGATGCGTATAATTTTTCAAACAAACAAAACGAATGTTTCTGTCCTAAAGTACATGATAAGAGAGTCTGTCCACCTTCAGGACTCTTCAACATATCCGCGTGCAATCATGGCACGCCTTTGCTCTTGTCATTTCCGCATTTTTATGGTGCCGACAAATCGTTGCTGGAACAAATAGATGGTTTAAATCCTCGGAAGGAAGATCATGAGAGCTACGTGGACATACATCCGGTAAGTCAACATTAAATTTTAACTATTATATCACAAATATTTATTTTTCTTGCAAAAATTTAATTTAATACTGACTAATTTCATAGAAAATTACTATAATTTTTAATATTAAAAGCACTAAATAATAGTAGTTTTAGTACGTAAAACAAACAATTAGTTATAATTAATTATCCCTCCAATATTAAATTTCTATAAAAGTAGATAATTTTACGTCACATTAATCGTTAATTAGAATCTTATGACTAATTTTCATTTCACGAATTAATTGTAAGAGCTTTCTTGTAGAACATATGTATCAACATAGAAGTCCATCTATCTTCGTTCGATATTCAGTGAAAAACAAAGATAGAATGATTCTTGTGTCTATATGTGTTTCTTGCATTTCTTTAATGGTATAATAATTTGTGTCAAAAATTGGGAAGCAACATCATCTCCATTTTTTACTACTTTTACTGTCGAGAGAGTGATTAAAAATTAAATTAAAATTTCTATTTTTAGCGTATAGCGATTCCCATAGCCGGCTGGTCGAGGATGCAAATGAATCTGGAGGTGCGAAGGGCAATCGGCGTGCCGTTCCTTGGGAATCTGAAGGACGGCATGATCCTTCCACTTATCTGGGTCGAAATTGGGATAGACAAACTTCCTGAACAGTTGTTGAAAATCGTCCAGAGCGCGCATTTCACAGTAACCAACGTTGAATTGGCTTTGCAATGGGGTACTCTGATAACGATGATACTCTCCTTGAGTGCTATGATCGTCTGTCTCTGGAAATATCGTTTGAAACAGGATGTAGTTCTCCTAAAAAATTCGTTCAAACAAAACAACCTTCTTGAGTTGCTCTAGATCGGAACAGAAATCGCTTGAAAGAAATGAATGAACAAGTAAAGACCGTCGATCTATCAAAAAAAATAAAAAATAAAAAGAAATCAACAATTTCGAGATAATGCGGATGTTCAAAAGATATTAGAACTAAGTTTAGTCTAATTTTTTAGATGGTTTGAATTTTTGAAACGCTTCTTGAGAATTTGTGCTCGAGACGTTCAATTAGAGACAAAAGATGATAGTGTCTCGTAAGATTTCTCATAAAGGCACAGTAAAACGAATTTACGTCATCAAATAAAACTTGGTAATGTAAAACATGATTGTTGTGCAATTAGATTAATGTACGTTACTGGTAAACTACACGTTAATCATTTCTAAGTGAAGAGATTCTGTCATTATTGCAAGGCATAATTTCGACGTCATAATGAGATTTAATAGATTGCTCAAAGATAAAATGCTCATTCATATGAAATCTTTTGTTAACAACACTTTGCGGTTTTGACAAAACGTTTAACAAGCGAGTTTATTATGGATTTTAGGCATGATATCTTTATTTTTGTTTATCGCGTGAATAATAATTTTCAAAAATATGAATAAAAAATATTAATATTCGTTCGCAAAGTTAAAGGACATTTTTCAAGTGAAAAATTGAAAAACAATCAGCAAGTTTCTAAAGCTCCTTTTTATTCGTACGCGATCCATCGTGAAATCACTTAAAATTACGAATAATCGATCCGACAAGTGCAAAGTCTAAGAGAATGCCGATGGACCAGTAATTCCTATGATAAGTTGACGTACCGTTGTTGCACCGTGAGAAAGTGACAGAGAGACACGCCCGCAACACGGCCAAAGCTGTGATTGAGACTTTAAGTGCATCGGAAATAATGTGTAATTATGCCGACGGTTGCGGCATTTGCATTTCGTCGTGTTATTACCTGACGGTGTCGCCGACCGCGACGGTGCGTTATGCCGCGCCGTAATGATCGACCTGTACTTAATTAAGCGGTGACGCACACGCGACGGCAGTACGTATTACATACGACCGTTTAATTAATGAGCTCGTTGTCTCAACAACGAGATTCCATACGGACTTTTTTTAATGTAGAATGTAAGTTTTTTCCAGAATCAGATATGTATACATAAATTCACATAAAAATATTTAAGCGTTAAAATTCACTTTGATCGAATTTATCTTATTTAATTAAATTTATTCTCAGCGGTTCAAATTCGTATCATAATTAAGTATAAGATTTATCTTATTGGGGGCCCGCGAAACTCGCAGTATCTAACAATGTACACTGCGTATCTACCTATCTTCCTCCAATTGTAAGTCCAAATGCGGAGAAAATAGATGTTCTGTATGTCTGATGTTGTACATATGTATGTCTGAATTTGTACAGAGGCAAGCGTTATTATTTTTCATTTTGCTACACTGATTAAAAGAAAATTTGTTTTAATTTATATTATACTTATTTTTGGCATTTACAACTATCCCTATACGATGATCTCCTACTTACCTTCACAGGTATCTTTGCATCTTTTACCTCACGTTCTATTTCGAGAATTATCCTTTCGTAGATATAATAGTTAATAGTATTTATGTAAATCATTCGTTGCGCTTGATTTATCACTGAGTTGTCTACATGTGCATTAACATTTTGATAACCCTAGCAACACGCGAGATCTTATTTCGTCGAAAAAACTTGTTTTCGTATCAGTGCAAAACGCAACGTCTATGATAAAAGCATAATGTACTCGCAACGTGATATCGCGCGAATAGGAGTGGAATAATCGTGAACATCAAATCAATCTCTATCGTATCATAAAATTAATTCTATCGTATATTTTCCTCATTCCTTCTGTATTCATTTCTCAGATGAGTCCTTAATCCTCTCTGTTCCTCGGACGCAAAAGGAACGAGAGGGCGAAAACAAATTCAAAAACACTTATAAATTTCTAGGAAAGAAGAGACAGAAGAATAAGACGTGAGCAATAAATCAGAGTTGAAGAGTTCCTATTCCTTTTTCTCTTTTTCTTTCATATCTAGAATCAAAATAATCATCATAATATCAGTAGATTGGTGCAAAAGATTCATACTTATCAAAATATCTAAAAAACATAATTTCAACAAAATCAAAACAAAGTTACCACTATTAAATTCCAAAGAGACATTTTCGCTCTTTTTAAGGAACTTTAGTTTTATTTTTATTTATTATATATACATAAAACTGTGATGAAAAAAGAAACGATAAATCTTTTGCAACAAGCTAATAAATTATAACTCTAGCTTTTTTATAAAACGAGCGTGACTTTCGAGAGTAAGTAAAGTTGAGAAAGAATATATCCCATTATATGTGTAATATAACGATTACGCTGACACCAATAACCAGATTTTTCACGCGCGCGCACACAATTTGTTTGGTATCTTTTGATTTTTATGATACAAAAGTAATTTATTTATTAGGTCTAATTATGATCTACGTTTAATAATTATTTATATAATAATAATAATAAAATACATGTACAAACGAATAACGAGAAATAATACAATCTTGATAATTACAATCGGTAGACGACAACAGATTCTATGTACAGAAAAAGAGATTTCTGTCGTTCCCGCTGTTGTTGCGTCCCGATTGCACAAACTACGCGTCGCAAACACACTCGTGCAATCCAAATTGAAGTCGTGAACGAAGCTTGTCCTCGGAACAACGGCATGGACGGAATATCAATTTCATATCTTTCATCCTTTATGTCAGTGTTCGCAGCGATAATTGCTTCGCACGATTAAACGACGATCCTTGAAGATCAATTCGATCGTGCGGAGCAAGGTGCAGTTCGTTATTAATATTAATATTTCTAATAAAAAGAACGGTGTTGCGTCATCATAAATACCAATCGCCGAGTTTTTCGTAGCAATGACTCGACTTCAATTTCTTATTTCCGTGCAGTATCGTAAAAAATATTATAGTAAAACATCCGTCAGTTTAGTTGCCCACTCCACAATAATAATGTCAAGGTAAAATAAAATATATCTAAACATAAACATAGATTCTATTTTTTGATCAATTTATCAGCTAAGAAGTCAACAGTGGAGATTAAAAAACCGTAACAAAGCGCGAAATTATCTGCGATGTTTTCGTCGAGAAGACATATAGATTTTAAATTTACCCACAGATATATTTCTCAGAGTTTTCTCTCAATCCAAATTTTTAACTCGTTCTTTCACGAAGGAAAGATCCGTCGATCCCTTACAATTACATCTCGAGCAATAAGAGAAATAACATCTACTCCACAGATCTCGAATTCATCGCTGATCGTTGCTCGCGATTAATTTGTACTCGCGCGACTCAACACCGTCTGACAAAACACCATCCCGAGAAGAAACACACGTAATATAAATAAATCTAATTTATCGACTGTCCGCGTATGACCCGATAAAATTCGCGTCTCTGGGCAGCCTCTCCCTCTTCTCTCTCCCTTCCTCTCAAACAGAACAAAATAATGTCAAAATGACTCAAAAATGGATCGTTAAAAGTCATTTTTCAATCATTTAATGATTAACGTCAAAATTGCGCTATGATGACTTGTCCCAAACAACACATCCAAAAATGAGATATTTTAAAAATATCTTCCATTTGCGAAGTGCGTTCCGTTTTGCGTTTACAGCGCTTGTAAGCGTCATTTGTTCTTGTTTAATATTTGACCGACAACAAGAATAAACTGATGCTTACAGCGTATGAACGTGAAAACGAAACATCCCTCTTATGTCTCGATTTTGGACTTTTTGTTGTCTGGGATTGTTCTGCTTTGTCTCTTGCGAAATTCGCGAGATTTGAATGTGGAAATCCTAATCGAGATATAAAGCACGTGCCCGTCGCCTATAAGATAAGTAAGATTATCGTACAAGTCCTCGCGAGTCCTCGTGCGCTACCCGGCGCGCAACTTGTCTCGCGGGATGAAACTCCGAGCATTCGCGCACTCGTTTCAATTCCCTCACTCGCAACCAATTTGACTCTACTTGCTGAAAGCCGGATTCAGCTGGCCGGTCTTGGTGCTCGTTGCGTTCGCCGGTAGTGGGTTACTCAGGTGCAGCTTCTCCTGGCGTCTGGCAGCGCGCGCCAAACACATAAGCGCGCCAAGCAAGACGATCGCGCCAATCACGGCCAGGGCGCCGGACACTGCAGCATGAGCCACCGGTGGCAACTCCACCGCCAATTTCAGCAAGGAACGCATCTCCGGGGGTAGCTCATCGACGCACTGCGCAAGAGAAAAGAAAACGTGTTAGTGATATCGGAACTGTGTTTGGCTGCGTTCAGCAGAAAAAGCTGCTTTGCAGTTGTTTATACTTTTTTGTATGATTGGTTTATGCATTTATTATAGATCTAGTAAGGAAAGGACAAAGGGTAAAATAAATCTCATAAAAGAATTTTACAGCAATTGCGAAGCTGCTTTTCTGCTGAACGCTATTATGTCCGTTTCTACCAATGCAATGTAATAGTATAATTTTAAATTTTATTCAACTATGATATAACCTTCATTTTTTCTAGTTCAAACAATTAGAAGTTCTAAGCGTTGATTTTATCAATGTAAAATTAACTTTTTAATCTTAATTTAATTTACTTTTTACTTTCTTCTAATTCTGAGAATTAAAAAAAAGATAGACAATAAGTTAAATGAAGATTAAAGTTAGTCTTACGAGGGTGAAACCTTAGTTGATTTATTTATATACTTAACGCGATGCATTATTAACTTATTATTATTTAAAAAATTTATCTAAATAGATTGTGTGTGTGTGTGCACGCGCATGTGTGTTTATGTTTGCTAAATTAGATAAAAAATTTGTTTTCTTGCCGCTACTAGTTATACATTTCAGTAAAAACTTTTTTTATAATCATATATTTCTGCGTTTTATAACATACTTAAGCATTTAATATTTATAAAGCTAACTTTATAATTGCATAATAATTTTGCATGTTTCAACCTTTATTTTAAAGGTTTTTTTATTCTATACCTTTTTATCGTTTCGTAACATTTTTAAATATATATAATTACTAACATTAGTCCTGTCAATAAAGTCAAAATAAATTATTCTAGATCATTCTATTTATAATATATATGTACATAGTAATATGTTAATGTACGAGATACATAATTAATAAGAATATATTAATACGCTAATTCCATGAATATTTCTCTCATTTAGGAAATATTTAAAATAAATAAGTTAAATTAAAAATTCACTAAGATATAAAATTAAAAGAGAAATATTTGCTGCACTATACATTATGGGTATAAATAAAGAAATTTTTAAACTTGAAAAATTTAAGAATTAAAAGACATCCGGTTCGGATGTCTTTTAATTCTTAAATTCTTTTAATTCTTTTATTTGAGGCAAGCTGACGGCGGAAATGTTATTCGAAACAAGAAGATCAATCTTTGTTTTCACGTTTACTTTAGCGAGAACGTTTCTCGAGATGACCAAATCAAATGTTCTCGCAGTCTCGTATTCGTGTCGTTTCGAATACAAAGAAAATTCTCAGAATCGGAGAGTTTGTTCCTTCTCCTTTTTTCTTTTTCTCTCGCCGTGACGCGGCGCAAGGACAACGTCAAATTCTTTATTAACAACGTCGAGACGAGTTCCATTAATATGAATCATGGGCGAAAAGCGTGCAACAATACGGCTCCTCTACGTGCATGGTATTCAAACACACGTCATTGCCGAGCGGCAAAACGGCGAACGGCAGGCACGTTCCCGCCATTGTCGAGGCAGGGAGGAGGCAAAGATGAAAATTTCACCTGCATGACCGACTCGAGGATGATAGTGACAATTTGTAAGCGACGTGGTATTCCGTTGTCAGTAACTAAAGAGGGAACAGGTCAAACGTATCCTTGAGAAGAGCTCAATTTGATTCCAATCGCAAAACAAGATTCCTCGTAGCATCACACTAATTTGATCGCGTGAAGTGGCTCGCTAAATTATTCAAGATTTGGCAAGTACAATTTTCATGCTAATGAATAATTAATGTCTTTTGTAAATCTTGTCCATCCGCAATCTGCGTTTTTCTGTGTCGGAGCGTATTGTATACGTCAGTATTTTGATATTCGCAAATCTTGTTTTGTGGAGATGAATGCCTCGTTTTATTTCCATTTTGAATACTCGTTTCGTGTCATTTTTTGTCTCCTTTCTCTCGTTTTCATTCCTCCGTCAAAGTCAATGGCGAAGTTTGCGCATTTGGAACAAAGAGAAGCTTCCGATATATTTTTCAAATATATTTATATTTTCTTCTTATTTAGTTATTTTTATGCGTTTTACATTTAATTTGCGGACACTTAAGGAGAACGAGCGAGTCTCGAACATCTTCTCACTTACGTCAAAGCTCTCGTTAGCATAATTAATAAAATTTGCACTACGTTGGCAACTTAATAATTAATTTTTTAAATAGTTTTATTTATACCACGATTATTACACACAACTATCAAAAAGCGATCATCTTTACTTTTTACTCGCATCTTATATTTAAGATTTATAATTTAATCCATCACGCGCGCGAGAGATGCTACGCTCATTTAGCATTCAACTACACCTGCTGCGTAATAATTTACACTAAACATGCAATGATTCAGACATAACTATTCAGTACAAATTAAAACTCTGCAGAAAATTGATTGCAAATTTAACATGTAATGCATTTTTATAACATCGTGAGTATATCTACATTGTTTTAGATAGCAATTAAAAATTCGACAATCACTGCAAGAGATCCATCTCATCAACGATAATTGTAATTATCATTATAAATATATCACATAATGCATTAATTTCACGCGATGTTACGCGCAATATGTAAACAACGTTATTATATTATAATTATTAGTATATATTCTTATATATTGTATAATTACTAACACAAAATCAATAAATGTCTAATAGACATATAGACAGACTCTATAAACAATAATGCTAAATAATTAAAAAATATCGTATACTTACATCCTCGAACCACATAATGGGGAAAATAATGTCGGGGAATGAAGCGACCTGCTTGATATCTCGCACTTGGCTGACTGCAAGATTTATTTGTACCCTTGCTCGTGCCTTCATAGCCGTGCCCATTATAGGCTGCACGTCAATGTACAGCTGATGTTTTTCGGGATCCGGCGGAGATATGCCCGTGACAGCCTCCCGTAAAGCTGGATCGGCTGGAAGAAACAAGCATAATGTGATTGAGGTTCTTAATCACTCGATAGAGTAAGCTATTATTATTCTCTCTTTCATATCGCCATTAATGTCAGGAAACTTGTATTAATTTGCATATCAGGAGACGCAGTAGTGTCTTCGGCCATGTTCAAAAAACTACTAGTTAATTTAAAAGTTAGTTATTTATACATTCTGTCCTTCGTCTAACTTGTTTATACTGTTTATTGTCATTTATTCGAGGAAACACGCCGCCTTAATTTTGTACATACATTTTATTCTTCGTCAAACTTTTATTCTATTAAGTTACTGTCAAACATTGGTTTTTGCTTATTATGTATTAGTTATGCTTTATATTCTTATAAGATTTGTCCTAGAATGTTAATAAATGCTTTATCTATCCATATATCTTTGTCTCTATGAAATTAAATTATCATTAACACATTCTTTATAAATATATTTACGATGTAATTTCAATTTTTTACGTCAAATTATTTTAGAAATTCGTGAAACTAGTTTATCGTTGTTTAACGTGAATCAGCAGAGGTCAGTTTAAGCATTAGTCTGGTTACGCTCGTGTCTTTACATAATAACATATTGCTTCGTTACTTCGCAGTGTCAAAAGTCACCGCGTGCGGTTACACGTACAAAACGGACGTAATGCACCACAGTTAAGTGGCGTTTTAGTCAAGTGGTTTAAGAATCATACTTAAGACTCTTTTAATGTATTTCAAAACGCATAAACAGGAAAGCAATGATATTATAAAATGGAACTCATTCTATCTGTCTCATTTCTATTTTTTTTAAATATTAAAGACTAGCTGTATAACTTCTCTTTATTACGCATTTTCGCATTTACAATTAAATGATTTTTAAAGCAGATATTTATATGTAAGCGTTAACACAAAATAAAAGTTGCGATCATTGTGCTCTTTTCTCGAAGAAATCCAGATGCAGGGGCCACTTACAAAAGATTTTATCAAATTCATAGAGAAATTCGCATCAAAGATATCTTGTATTATATGAACAGAATCGATAAGCATTTTATTAATAATAAAGCATTTTGTGTAAGATAACCAAGGGTCCCAAATTAGGAGGAATAGTCCTAAATTTTATCTCAAATTAAGAACGTGATTATGAATTATCCCTTTTTTAAGTAAAAAAATATTAAATGTAAATAATAATGAAAATAATAAGTGTGGAATTTAATTTTTAACTAAATTCTGTGAAGAATTTAATGATCTTTTATTTAAAAATCTCGATATTAGTCGTAGAATATAAAAAAGTATAATTATCAGTAAAAAAGTACAATTTTACAAAATAAAATGTAATTTCATAATTTCATGTAATTTTTGTTATGACCTCATATATATAATGTTACACATTAAGTGATTAAGTGTGATTATTAGTTATTTAAAAATATAACAATGTAACATCGTTCTCATGTGTTTCATTAGCAATTATAAAAAAAAAAGTTTATCTACAAAAATTTAATTACGACAGTTAATATCAATTATTTTAATCGTCGCGCTCTTTCCTGTTTTAAAAAGTTGGCCACCTAAATTTTGTGTTTTACGAACGAAATCGAGTATCTTGCGTATTTTGTTTGACTAGAGAACGATTTCACACGACGGTGAAACTAGACTTCTACCGGAACGTCATCTAAAATCTGGAGCGCTGAAAGTAAAAGTTTGCGGTGCGAAAATATATGCGCGATAAATGTGAGGGAGAAAGAGAGAAACAGTTCGTATAATATTCCGTGGGAGAATTACGGCGGATGCGTGAAAGAGATTGTTCCTAAGAAAAATAGGTCTCGTAGTAACAGACTGCTCGACCGACTCCAACTTCGAGTTGTAGTCGCGCAGAGCCGGAAGCGACGCGACAAGTAGATCTCGCTTACGAAACTAGCACGCACATAAACGATCTTCGTTAACCGGCCTGTCAGTCGGTCGGTCGGTCGGTCGATCGAGTCGGTCGATTACCTGTTCTTTCTGTAAAGAAAAAAAAACGTGTCTACGTGGGCGCAAGAAGATGACGAATTGATCCGCTTGACAGCGAACCACCAGGAAGTAATAACGGTACGATCGAAGTCGCGGACACATCGATGAGAAGTGTCGGCGACGTGAGGAAGGAAATGCATGGTGTGTGTTGCATATACGACGCAAACAGACTTATCGCGATAATCTGCTAAGAAAATAATTCCCGCAAATTATGTGTTGCGCTTACGTAAGATGATACACTTTTACATACACGCATATGATCGCGTAACTCATCGGCTCAGACGATGCTCAGATTCGCAGTGTCGGAGATTCATGACACGACATGTTACGTCAAGTATCGAATGATGTGTATCGCGTTCCGCGATTAGGAGAGCTCACAATTTCTCGCAATAAATCCTGGGAATAACAATAATAATAATAATTACGGCAAAAACAAGTCGCGATACTTGATGTGTGTTACACAAGATACGTTTCGCGTCATCTTGACGTATACATCATCCGACTTCAAGATATCGCAAGTAACTTTGACAAATATGATAATTGCCAATGTAAAATATCCCGCCTCAAATCTCGTTACAACAACTAATCTGTAAATAAAGTTTCGTCGCTGCGACGAGAAACCGCGAGTTACGTGACACTTACCAAGGTAGAAATGCGGGAAAGTGATGAGAACTGGCGAATCGTACTGGCACAGGGAGACGTTGAACGTGCCCTCCGGTGCACACGGTGGTCCAGCTGGACAGTAGCACTGCTGCGACGCCATATTTTCTACCGAGGTGAAGACATTCGTTGGCGGAGAGAATCTGTAGCCGGGGATTCCTCCGGCTGCTATTACTTCGCGCTAGAAAACAAAATTTTCTTTGATACGCGATGACCAAAGTCAATACTTTATTGGAACTCTTACTTGTAAAATTAGTACCGTCCTATTTAAATAAGAGCATAACTTACACGGGAAAAATTACTTAAGTCATTTTTACCTTACAAGACTATAGTAAAAAATATTCTGGTTATTTTTGCCAAACTTATGACGAACTTTATTTATACCTAAGTGTAAAAATATTGAGCCGAGTAAGGTAAATATTACAATTATAGTGAATTTATTCAAGTAATTATTATCTTACAGAAAAGTAAAAGACATTTATTCTCAAGATATGGTAAGCATAAACAACTTTCAAGACTATATATAGACACTTGTATTTTTATCGCGCAGTAAAGTATTATAATTTTGTCAACTCTAAGGCAAAAAATAAATCGTTGATAAAGTAAATTTTACATAAATGAGCGCTTATCCCTACATGGATCTTTCAATCCCACAAAAAATTTACTAAAATTCATATCAACACATATTAATTTACATTTTTTTCTAAATTGAAATTTGTTGTCTCAAATTATTAAAAAATATATTACTGTAAATATTTTTTGATGCATGATATTTTTAATATTTTTATTTAAATAACGTAACACACACAATTAAAGGAATATTCAATTAATTATAATTAATTATAATTATATAAAAGAACTTAACTGAAATAATTACAATAAAAAATTAGAAATTAGACTATAATTCAATAAATTAGATTTGTACCTATATACATAAAAATATTAAGTTCATGGTTCGCAATACACACAGAAAAATTTTATTTTCTAGTAGTACAAAAAAATTGTTTTAATCAAGATATTAGTCGAAATATTAATGTTATTAATTACAATGTTATTAAATTATTTACATAGATGAACAAGGTGCTATATAAGGTACTTGTAAACAAAATACTTTTCTCGACATCCTCCTGTTTTCATATTTTACCATTTTAAAAAATTATTAAGCCGGTGTTTCAAACGCCTCTGGTCGTATCAGTCAGATAATTAAGGACGACTAACAAAAACACAAACCTGATAAACCAGCGGCAACGTCCGGCAGAGGTCTTTCTCGAAGACCTTGAGCACGGTCTGCTTCGTGATATGAGGTGGGAATATGCTGCCATCAGTGCCCATGACGGAATCGCATTCCTTCGTGGTCCAGTGGCCGAGAGCGTCCTTGCCGTTCCACCTGTCCATTAATCCAAATTTGGTGATATCGCTACTGCCCGTGAACATCGTGTACAGGTCCGTTCCGGTCGCGTTCTTGCCATAAAGCAGACCGAACTGATCATACGGCAGCTTTTGTTCTTTAGGCACGACGTCCTTAGCCAACTTGAGCAGAGGATCGTCGTAACCCCAAAGTAGCTGATCGACTGACACTTCAACGAACGGCTTGATTTTCAGGATGTCCATGATGGACGCCATCGCCAGTCGTAGGAAACGAGCGGCGTGTTTCGATTGACTGGTAGCTGATAGCATAGGAACGTTCGGCACGACCACCAAATCATCATCGGAACCGGATGACAAATCCTAATATTTCAATGAGAAAAGAAAGAAACTGAAAATCTGACCAAATCGTGACTGATTGAATGCAATAAAAGAAAAATTTATAGAAGAATAAATACACGATACGAATTTTTTTAGAATATATAAAAAGAGATAAGAGGACTAATAATATAATAATTAATCCTTAGTACATACGATGATTTTTCATTCTTTTATTACACACGATAGAGTAACTATCCTTACTATTACACTAATGTGCCTACTATGTATGTAAGCTAATTGTTTAAATTAATATCACATAATTATTTTAATTACACTTACAATTTTAATGAAAACTCATAATACAACCTTCTTAGCCTTTATACAAAGCGCATTAATACGGTTAAGCTTAAAATTTTGAGGTATTATTGGATTCGTAAAAATTCCTCTAAATTACGATATGTATCTTTAAAAAAATATTTACTACAATCTAATGGTTGAAAAATAGAATATTATCTTTAACACTGTATATATTAATGAAATTAATAAAAAAAAACCATTCTTATTTATTTGTGCTAGTTTTCTTTATAACTTATTTGAATACAAAGGCACTAATTGGAACGACGCAGTAATCATTTTTAGAAAGGCTATTTATAAGGCTATGATTAAAAAAAATTATTTATAAAGGTTATAACTAATTACTTAACGCTTCTCTAATTTTTCGAAGAAAAAAGGTACGCAAACACGAATGTGACTTAATCGTGTATACTTGCTAAGAATTAACATACACACACATACGACAAGAATAAGTTAATAAAAGATACAGCATATTATTATATAAAATAGCGCAATGAAATAAAAATAAGTAAATAAAAAATAAAGATAATAACAGAAAATTAAAGAATACGTAATAATGTACGGTGAATAAAATAATTTGCGAAAGAAACAGAGATCATTCAAACAAAGAATGGGAAGCTACATTAATCTACGAGTTGTTACAAAGCATCCGCGTAATAAATATTTTCTTCCATAAATTTTCTCTTGAAACAAGAAAACGGTTCGTGTACATATTGTCTTTCTTGTCGGCAAGTTACGATAATACACTTGACTACGCCGTGGAAACGTTTCTCTGAAATGTAGAAAGTCGCGACAGTGATTTCGATGCGCGAGCAAGAGTAGCCGTGCAGCCGCAAGTCGACAGAGGAAATGCGTCTATGACGGATTTAAATAAACCCGGAGGCGACGTGACGCCTTCGATTGTCATTCAACGCGGATTCACTGATTTTTTTTTTCCTTAGTAGCCGACGTTATTTCTGTGCTTCTCGAATAAACGAACAATCAAAGATTGTGATACATCCTATGCGTTAAAGACGCGCATTGTTTTGAATACTAATAAAACGCTTCTTATAATGAGAATATCTCAATCTCAGTCTCAGCTGTTTTAATGCATTGCCTTGGAAAATATTCGCGTGAAAGGAAAGCTAAGCATTAGATATTTATATATTTGTATAAACAATATAAACATACGTATATGTTCATATTTTGTAGAAAGCAACAACTTATAATTAAAAGATACACGATATAAGTTTAGAAAAATTGCAGTTTCAATACGGAAAGATATAAATTTAAATTATAACTTCAACACGGAAATTGAACATTTATTAAAAGATCAATATTGATATAGCCATATATTACATATATGTAGCCTAAGTGTGAATTTAAAACATCAAACTTGGTTTAAGTAAAGAGAGAGAGAAAGAGAGAGTGAGAGTTTTAAATTAACATTATTGCTGTATCGTTAATTATGTCTAATTAGACAAGGGCTTACTGAATTAAAGATGAACGTCTTCTTGACTTTGTAGGTGACGGTTCCATTATCATTGAATTTGATATCCACCTTCTCCCAGCGTTGTTCGTAAACGTACGGACCCAGCTCCTGCAGCGCTGGTTTCTCACCGTTGTTCAAAAATTCATCGGCGTTCGTCACGTTGTAGATGTAAACTTGCATACGCGGCACGACCGGCGGCTGCTTCCAGAATTTGTACGTGCGTCCACCCTCTCGTATCGCAAGCTCCTTGTCCAGGATTAAGTTGATGAGATTCGGAAATAGAACCGCCAGAACGGCAGCCAAGATTATTAGCAAGACTCCGCAGGAAACGGCCGCCCCTGAGGAAGAGGAAAGAAAGATGAGTCATTGTCGTTAGTTAGAAGTGCACTTTGTTTTTTTTTTTAACGCTGAAAGGAATTAGCATTAATAATCCTGAGAATCAGTATGTTAAAATAAGTGAAATAGAAAGGAATTCAGAATTCTCGTTGTATTTGTAGTCAAAGTATAAAATTAATTTATTTCGATGTATATTGCATGAAAGAAGAAAAAGTTCCATATAATTTCTCATTTCTGGACATGATTTCATGCGGTATTGCTGAACGACAGTCATAACAACCACAAAGCATTGCGTTGTAAGATAAGAATTTATTCCTCTAGTTACATATTCTCGCAAGATCGATACCAAAAGGAGTCGAAGGAGAGTATTGAAACAACAAAATTAATTTATTTCACGAAGATACGAAACTTCCGTTAATTTTTATTCCATTTCTGTCGGTTTTTCTCACAAGTCTTCATTTTTACACTTCGTATCAAAGACAACAATCCCGAAGACATGGAGTAATTGACGAGTAACACGATTATCTTTCGAGGTAATCGTGAATGTAATTACGTCATGATCTAACGACCTTCGATCGAGGTGGTCGACCTAACAATCGACTCGATCAACAGGAGTCAAACACAAAAAGGAACAAGGACAGCTAGTTTTAAAAAAAGATGCACTATGCGACGTCTCCTTCAAACGGTCGTCTTCCTTCCCGTCGGCACACATACAATATCACGGTTATATTCTGAATAAACTTTATATTCCTTTTAATGCTCGTATCAGATAGTCAGACTGGATCGATGATTAGGATTAACGATTGCCCAGGTACTATTTCAGCTAACCACATTGAAAATCCCATTTAATTGAATCAATTAATCTCTTATTTAATTATAGGTAAATAAATCCTTGGTTGATGCGATGAAATAATTTAGCAAATGGTTTGATTATTGTTTCATTTTACTCTTGTTTCTGCTAACACAAATAATAGAATTCTCAGAGCACGATACAACGAATCAATTGTGATTGGACGAACAGAGCAATTGTTAATCGTAATTGTCAACTCGTAGTCTGATGATACCAGTTTAAGAGCAAAACAATCGCCAGATGTAAGATGGGACCATTTGCACCTTTCTCGTAAACATTTATCCTTCTATACGGTCCGTTCCTCACGCGTGCGTTGCGTGTTATTATTTATGCACTTATGCCGCCGCACGCTTGCAGTTTTGCAGTTAGGTACTTGCGGTAAGTAAGTGCCTGGTAACCGGTTAATCGGAAAGACGTAACACTAAATTGAGGACTGAAGACTCCAGATAAAAAATTCGTAAGAATGTATTGGAATTTTAAATAATTATTCCACGTGTGGAAGATTGGAAATTTATGCGTCGACCAGTAACAAGATAAAAAGTCATCAGGATTGTTTTAGAGGGATTTTATGAGGCATATAAATGTAAGAAACTTTCCTATTTTTTTTTCAATCGTAAAATAGTATTCTCTTGTTATTTTTTTATTTATGTCTTTAAATTATTTTCACTTTTAACCTGTTTAAATGTGAAGTTCCTTGATATTTTAAATTAAACATACATCTTTGATTCTATCTATGTAAAATCTTTTGATATACTCGTGTGCCTTGATCGCACCAAGAATTAGGAAATATAAAGAATTGAGAAATTTATCCTTCTCAGCTGTTTATACCAAAAAGAGTCTTAACATGGCCAAGACCTTCACCTCATTAGCCAAATCGTGAATTTTGTTTGATTCTCGCATATCACACTTGCGAGCAATTATTACTGTTTAGCAATAAACGTTCACGTATCAATACAATTTTCATGGCGAGGTCGCAGTCATTACATAAATTTCACGCGGTGCGACGTTGTGTCAGAAAAGTATACATAATTAGTTGTCATTAGGTTAACGTGTTAAACGCATACATATTTAATTTTCTAATTCATTTAAATAAATTCAATACTTCAAGAATCATTTATTTTTCAATATTTAATATCTCTTATTATTTTAGATAAAAGATAAATGTTCAATATTAATAGCTATAGATTCTTCACTTTGATACACTTATAGAATATAACGATTTTTTTGCTGTTAAATATCTAAATTTAACAGCTGCTGTATGAATACATTAACAAATAACTCTTATTATTAGATCTTTATTAGATTTATAAATGTTTATGTCCTTCGTGCAATTGTCATCAATTTCGTTGTTTGTTTTCTTCACGAGTAGGGTTACCAACCGTATACTCTTTTTTAAAAGTACATGTACATGCATACTCTTTGAGCTTGTAAAGCCTATTCTACAATTGCGTAAGCATAAGTGTAAGTGGTTGTAGTACTTGTAGTTGTAAAAATGCACCAATCAGAGCCGGATACAAGAAGAATATTCTCTCCTGTAATTAGTCTAAATAATTCTTACAACTACGCTTACATAATTGCAATGTAGAATAGGTTTTAAAGTTCTGGTCATTAATTAAAATTGAATATTTATAAAATTATATTAATAAGAATTATCACACAATATAAAATTATATGTTGTAAAATTTTCATTTTATTAAATATCCTACATTTAACGCATAAAAAATTATACATCCTTCTTCCACCCTCGAATCATCTTTTATGAAGTATATATTGTACTCTTTCTCTTTGTCTCTCTTTTCTTGTGATTCAGATGTAGTAACCCTACTCGCGAGACTTACTGATACATTAACACGTCGATATATCACGTTCCTTTTCGTTCTTCCCAACGAAATTACAAAACTACCGCCTACGCGACACGCAAGCGGAAGAAAGCTGACCGTGCGGCGTCCGATGTATCAATGCGCGTACATCGGTCTCGCTTTCCCCCCCCCTCCTTCTTTACCCCCATTCGTCCCGACTTTTCTTTTCCTGCTTTTCACGCGCGCGCGAGCGCACATATTTACTTCACAATCCCGCGGGGCGATGATTTTTGCATGGTTGCGGTTGCATCTTTTTATATTGAAAGAAATAACGGAACCGGACGTGTTCAGATCGCAATATAAGGTGAAACCGGAAGCATGTCAAATAATCACGATTCTCAAAATTTATGAAGCGATTATTAATTTTTTAGACCTCAAATATTTCAGGAATGTTCTCATTTTCTTTCGCGTTGAGTGTTCATCTTATATCATTTCCGACTTATGCAAACTTTAGTCATTATTCCTAATCCGAGGACTAAAGAAACTCAGCGCTTTTGATTTTAATTTCTATTTTTCTACGTAATATGTGAATTGTTTTTGGAACTGGATCGTGCTATGAAGTGATGTAACGTCAAAATATGACAGAGAAAAGGTAAATAACCATTCTTGCGGTGAGAAACACAAGCAAAAATTTTCGAAACTTCTTGCGTTTTTCTTTTCCCTCGAGATCGTAATTCTTGCTTGGTAGCTACGTTTGCTCGCCGTCGCGTAAACTCGAGCGAGGGAATTTCTCTTATTCCGAAGTGTTGCGACCGTGCAACCATCCGTTTTCGAGTACTTGACCTCCATTCCCTTTTTAGCGCCGTCTAACTTTGTGAATGGTGTGCGATGTACAGCTGCATCGTAATTCCGTGCATTGCGCCTGTGGAACAATAGCATGTTAACTGCGAGTGACCAACTAGGACGTGCGCAAGAAGCCAAACCTTTGAGTGTACACGATCTTATATGCATATCTACGAGATTGCACTCAATTGAACATTTGAATCTAGATATAATTAATATGTCCAAAAATCATTTATGCGGAAAGAATATTTATTTATAGTATAGATATTTAATATTAGAGTACAATTTTTTTCGAAATATATAGAAAAATTGATTTTCCTGAAAATCTAGAAATTTAACTCGATACAAATAATTTTGTTAAATTATCAAATTAATTGATGAAAATTTTTTTCACATAAAAACATATATAAATATATAATATTATATGGAAATATTTCTATATATTTTTTTTTGTAAAAATTTTGTTTTTTACAGAAATAGTATTATAACAATGATAATGAAGAGACATAAAAAATAATTAAAAAATAATTTCTTTTTTACAAAAGTTTGAAGATAAACAAAATTGCCTATATATTATGATTAACGGTGCATATATATATAATCACAAAAAAGATTCTGCTATTTAGTGGTTCCGTGTTAATGTCAGAGGATTTTCTATTTATATACGACCTCAAGAAAATACTGTACAAAGTAGAGGCATTTCATCTAATCATAAGGTGCTAGAGTTAAGATTGCAATTCTGTTAATGCTAGAAGAATGTCTTGCATGTACTGACATGCACGCGTAACTACGATAACGCGTGAGTGACAAACTTCTTCTATATAACAAATAAGCATGCCGTTAGTATCTTAGTATATTTTCTTATTTTAAAAGACTATTGTTATTATAATAGAATTTTCTATAAAGGAATTAGTCTTTATCATAGCTCATGTGTCCTTATGTTTATAGGTGTATGTAGATGAATACGTGTTATGTAAATATACGCACCAATTCATGTAAGATTTTTTATTTAGAGGAAATGCTAAAAGGAATTTCTCGCTTCATTAAATTAGCAGAATTTTTCTTTGAATGAAGCAATTGTTTCTTATTTTTTCAAACTTGATTTTTTTTACAAAAATAATAATTGTAATGTAAATATTATTTCATTGAGCAAATATTCCAATAAAAGAGTTCTTTCCGCACAAAAATGCATCACAAATATCTATATTAATGATTAATGCAAAACTGATGTGAAATCCATTCATAAAAATGTAGATCATAGATACGTTGAATCAGCTTCCAAGTAATATATTCAGAACTCGGTCATTTAAGGAATACATGCGATTACCAAAGCGCGTTTACGCAAGTGCGCTGAATTCGGAGTCGCGCGGCATTCCCGTGATTACACGTGAAAACCAGCGTAAGCGTAAAAATCAACTGTCCCGGAGATCTTGCGACACCTCTTTGTGTGCCGTATGCGACCGATTGTTTGGCTAAAAAGCCATTTGCGTTTTCAGTCACGTAGAATGAT